ATGGGGCTGGCCCTGAGGGTGCTGTAAGGCTAGGCTGTGTGGCTGGATTGGAGGGTGCTATGGGGCAGAACTGTGGGGTGCTGTAGGGTCATGGTGCCCTGGGGCTGGCTTTGAGGGTGCTGTGGGGCTGGGCTATGGGTGCCATTGGGCTGGCTGCTGTAGGGCCGGGCTATAGGGTGCTCTGAAGCTTGCCCTGAGGGTGCTATGGGGTGCCATTGGGCTGGGTGATCCCTGCCCCACTTCCTCCGCATGGCAGCACCCGGGGCACCCATGGGTGGGGGGCTGTGACGGCTCCCCCCATTCCCAGCTTGCGGTGGGTGCGGAGGTTCCCTCTGCTCCCTATGGATCTGATCCAGCCCCGGGCACTGGGATGGGCCCCAGTGGTGCAAAGGCAGGGCTGTGTTTCCCAATCCATGCGGCATTCCCGCTCATCCCGTGGCCCCACGGATGGAGTGGGGGGGTGGTCCCGGTGCTGCCTGCCCTCCCCCTGCTGTTTTCCATGGGGATTATCCCGGTTCCCGGCGTTTCCAGAGGGATGCGCCCTGCTCCATCCTTAAACGTGGAGCAAGCAGCCCCGTGGGGCGCGATTCCCTTGGGATCCCGGCTCGGCTCCTGCCCGAGCCTCCCCATGGGATCCGCTTGGATAAAACCCTCGGGAATGGGGCAGGAGCTTCCCGGCCCTCACGGGGGCTCTGCTTCCCCTTGCACGCCGGATGCAGGCCAAGGTGGAGGACATCGTGCAGGAGGTGTTGGATGCCCACAAGGCCAACCACCACGTCCCGCAGTGAGTTCCTATGGGAGCGGCGCTCCGGTGGGATGCGGCCCCAAGCCTCGGGTGCGGTGGCCTCAGCTCCCGGTCCCTGCCTCCCGTCCCAGGTTCATCCTGCACCGGGAGAAGCACTTCCATTACCTGAAGAGAGGCCTCCGGCAGCTCACGGAAGCCTATGAGGTACCGGAGCTGCTGCCCCGTTGGGATGGGTTTGGGATGAAGGCTCCTGAAACCCCATTCCGACGCCGATGCTCTTCCGTTAGAGCAGGGCGCCCCGAGCCCCATCCAAGCCGGCCTTGATCCGCGGGGATGGGGCCGCCGCAGCTGCCCTGTGCTCAGCACCCTCAGAGGGAAGGATTCCATCCTTACACCCAATGGGGATCCCGACCCATCACCCCTTTGCCCTGATGAAGAGCCCGTGTGGGAGCTGCTCCAGCTCCTGAGCATCCTTGTGGTCCCCTTTAGACCCCATAAGCAGGGGGGGTGTCGTGGAGCAGGATGCTCCCTGCACCCCCACATCCTCCTCGGTCGCCCCGTTATCCCGCAGTGCCTGGATGCCAGCCGCCCTTGGCTCTGCTACTGGATCCTGCACAGCCTGGAGCTGCTGGAGGAGCCCATTCCCCACTCGGTCGCCTCTGAGTAGGTACCAGCAGCATCCCATAGCCCACCCTATGGTGGCGGCGTGGGGACCCTCACCCCGCGTCCTGCCTGCAGCCGCGGCCCCATGTGATGCCGGAGGTGCCAGCTCCTGCTGCCCCCGCACCAAAGGAGCTTTGTTCCTCCCTTTGGCACCATCAATGGGGCCTTTCTTGCTGCCAGCACCTCGTGATGAGGGGGGGGGAGAGGGATGAGATAACCCCAGCCTTGACCTTATGGGGGGACACACACACACAGGACACCCTTGTGTGTTATGGGGTGTCCCCATGGCCTCCATGGCTCACTGCCACCCCTCGATAACCCCAGCCTTGACCTTATGGGGGGGGGACACACACACAGAGGACACCCTTGTGTGTTATGGGGTGTCCCCATGGCTCACTGCCACCCCTCCTTTAGCGTCTGCCAGTTCCTGAGCCGCTGCCAGAGCCCCCAAGGGGGTTTTGGGGGGGGTCCAGGCCAGCACCCCCACCTCGCCCCCACCTACGCCGCGGTCAACGCGCTCTGCATCATCGGCACGGAGGAGGCCTTCGGGGTCATTGACAGGTAGGGATGGTGTTGGGGTACGGGGTGGGGGGGGCACAGGACACGTGTGTGTGTGTGTGTGTGTGTGGTGTGTGCCCCCCCCAAACCTCCTGCAGCACAATGGCTCCGGCAGGCAGAAGCTGCTGCAGTACCTGCACTCGCTGAAGCAGCCCGATGGCTCCTTCCTCATGCACGTCGGGGGCGAGGTGGATGTGAGGTGGGTGAAGGGGGGGCTGCCCTGGGTACCAGTGTGGGGCTGGGTTCCCCTCCCTGACCCCCCCCCTCCATCCCGTATCCCATAGGAGCGCCTATTGCGCTGCATCCGTGGCCTCCCTGACCAACATCCTGACCCCCGCGCTCTTCGCTGGCACGGCCGAGTGGATCGCGAGGTGTGGGGTGGGGATGGGGCAGGCCATGGCATGGGAGCGTGGGGTGGGGTGGGGTGGGAGGCAGGGAGCTCCAAGCCCATCCGGTCCCAACCCCAACCCCTTCCACTGGAGCAGCTTGCTCCAAGCCCCTGTGTCCAACCTGCCCTTGAGCACTGCCAGGGATGGGGCAGCCACAGCTTCTCTGGGCACCCTGTGCCAGCGCCTCAGCACCCTCCCAGGGAAGAGCTTCTGCCTCAGAGCTCAGCTCAGTCTCCCCTCGGGCAGGTTCAAGCCATTCCCCTTGGCCTGTCCCTACATCCCTTGTCCCAAGCCCCTCTCCAGGTTCCCTGCAGCCCCTTCAGGCACTGGAGCTGCTCTCAGCTCTCCCCTTCTCTTCCCCAGGCTGCCCCAGCCCAGCTCTCTCAGCCTGGCTCCCTCGCAGCATCCCCACGGTCCCTCTCCAGCAGCTCCACATCCCGATGCCGGGACCTCGCTCCCCATCCCACCCTCTCCTCCGTCCCCGTGCAGGTGCCAGAACTGGGAGGGCGGCATGGGCGGCGTGCCGGGGATGGAAGCTCACGGCGGTTACACCTTCTGTGGCGTGGCCGCCTTGGTCATCCTCAAGCAGGAGCAGCTCCTCAACCTGCGGAGCTTGCTGGTGAGCACCTCCAGCCCCTTCCTCGTTGGGATTATTGGGGGGGGGGCTTGGAGGAACCCCCCCCACTCTCCCCATGGCCTCATCCTGCTCTGTCCTGCCCAGCACTGGGTGACCAGCCGGCAGATGCGCTTCGAGGGCGGCTTCCAAGGCCGCTGCAACAAGCTGGTGGATGGCTGCTATTCCTTCTGGCAAGCCGGGCTCCTGCCCCTGCTGCACCGAGCCCTCCACATCAAGGGTGAGTTGGCTTTTTTTGGGGGGGGGGGGCTCGATCCTGCCTTCCTCTGCCCCCCAAAACAGCATCGACATGAAGGCGTTATGGGAAGGGAATGAACGCGGTGATTCCGTGTCCCCGTTCCCGGTGGGAGCTGCTGCATCGGGGAGGCTCCTGAGGCTTTGGTGGTGTGGAGGGAGCCCTGAGGAAGGGGCAGTTCCCACATTCCTGCCCCCTCCATCCCTATGGATTTCACCCCCTTCTTTCCCCTTCCAGGCGACCCAGCCCTGAGCATGACCCATTGGATGTTCGACCAGTCGGCGCTGCAGGAATACATCCTGCTGTGCTGCCAGTGCCCGGCCGGGGGGCTGCTGGACAAGCCTGGCAAGTGAGTACCAGGGCTTATGGGGCTGGGAGGGGGGCACTGCCTGGTGTCTGCACCCCAACACCCCCTTCCCCATCGCCAGATCCCGGGATTTCTACCACACCTGCTACTGCCTGAGCGGCCTGGCCATAGCGCAGCACTTCGGCAGCGGCGACCTCCACCACGAAGTGGTCCTGGGTGCCCCTGAGAACCGCCTGGTAGGTGCTGAGCATCAATCACTGAGCTCCCGTTTTGGGGGTGGGGGTAATCCTCCCCAGCCCCACAAGCAGGCTCCGAGCCCCCTTTCTCCTCTCGCTTGCCCCACAGCAGGCCACGCACCCCGTGTACAACATCACCCCGGACAAGGTGGGGCGGGCGGTGATGCACTTCCTACGGCAGCCCGTGCCCAGCCTGGAGCCAGCAGCTGAGTGATTGGGGTAGCCCTGCTGCCCCCCCCCACCCCAAACCCCGTACCCCCACCCTAGACTGTGTGCAAGCAGCCCTGCCCCGGGTGCTCTGGTGCAGAGCGAGGTCCTCAGGGTGCTAGCAATACCAAAAGGGTGCTCCCGTGGCCACCAGCTCCTGCCGCCGTTCCCGGTGGGAGCTGGGAATTCATTATTGGAATGAATAAAGCCCCAAAAGGACGAGCTGCACCCCCCAACCCCAACCCCAACCCCGTGTCGTGTGCGTGCAGTGGGGCAGAGCTGCTGCCCCCTCCCCGTGCCGCGCTTTGGGGCTGGGAGGTGATGCCTGGGCTCCGATCCCAAGGGAACATCGGGAAGTGGAAATCAGGCTGCTTTTTCTATGTCCCATTTTATTCTTTAGAGTCTTATAGTAAAGGGGAAGCCTCAACTTGCAAGACAACTCCGGGCAGTATGTACAACATACCTTAGATCCATGGAATGAATTGGCATCAAAATGGGAATGGGGCGGGAGGAGGGGGTACCTATGGGGCACGGAGGGGATGCTAGAGATCAGAGAATGCCATAGAGGTGGGGAAGGTGACAGAGGAAAAGGAAGGTGGCGGGGGGACACGGGACAGGATGCACACAGAGAGCACCCAGCCTGGCTCTGTGCTGTGGAAAGAGGGGGTGCAGGCGTTGTGTGTGTGTTGTCCCCCCCCCATAGCTCCCACAGGCATCGGGGGCAGTTGGAATTGCACACGCAGAGAATAAATAGCAAGACCCCCCCCCTTTCCTTCCAGTGCTTGCCTGATGGGGGGGGGGGGTCAGGAGCAGCTCCCCTGTGTGGGGCCTGGCCTTTTGGGGGGGCACACACACACACACACAGTGGAGTGGGGGGGCTGCACAGCCTCCCCCTTCAGCTCAGGACTGCTGTGGTCCCCGGGTATAAATAGAAACGCTCATATAAAACCAGAAAGGAGGAGGGCGAGGGGCTCGCTGGGGAGGGGGGGCAATGGGGACGGTGTCTCCTTGGAGACACTTCCCCCCCCCCCCCAAGTCTGTCGGGGGCCCTGCCTGGCCGGCTCCCCCCTCGGGGCCGGTGCGGTTGGAGCGGGGAAAGGGCCGGGATGGGCTTTGGGAAGCTGCAGTCCGAGAGCCTCTACGAGAGAAGGGAAAGAGTCCTTACACGGCCGAGGGCGGTGGGGGGGCCGGGGGGGGCCCTAACTGGCCTCCATGCGCAGCTTCTTCCTGTTCTGAGGCTCCTCGGGCTCCGAGTCGGAGCTGGAATCGGATCCGCCGTCGAAGGCGGAGATGGTGCTGCCCTTGGCGTTGGTGTAGAGGCTGCTGCCGTCCGTCGAGGGGTAGCTGGCCTGAAGCTGAGCGCTCGACCTGGCCTTCTCCAGCGCCCGCACTGCGAGGCAGAGCCAGCACCTGGAGCCCCTGCGCCTTATCCCACCTGCATCCCCCCCTGTGCCTTATCCCACCTGCATCCCCCCTGGATCCCTCCTGTGCCTTATCCCACCTGCATGCCCCCTGTGCCTTATCCCACCTGCATGCCCCCTGTGCCTTATCCCACCTGCATCCCGCCTGTGCCCTATCCCACCTGCATCCCCCCTGTGCCTTATCCCACCTGGATCCCCCCTGTATCCCACCACCTGCATCCCCCCTGTGCCTTATCCCACCTGCATCCCCCCTGTGCCTTATCCCACCTGGAGCCCCTGTGCCTTATCCCACCTGCATCCCCGCTGTGCCTTATCCCACCTGGATCCCCCCTGTGCCTTATCCCACCTGTATCCCACCACCTGCATCCCCCCTGTGCCTTATCCCACCTGTATCCCACCACCTGGATCCCGCCTGTGCCTTATCCCACCTGCATCCCCCCCTGTGCCTTATCCCACCTTGTATCCCGCCACCTGGATCCCGCCTGTGCCTTATCCCACCTGCATCCCCCCTGTATCCCAACCACCTGCATCCCCCCTGTGCCTTATCCCCCCTGTATCCTGCCACCTGGATCCTCCCTGCACCTTATCCCACCTGTATCCCACCATCTGGATCCCCTATGCCTTACCCCACCTGTATCCAACCACCTGCATCCCCCCTGTGCCTTATCCCACCTGTATCCCACCATCTGGATTCCCTATGCCTTATCCCACCTGTATCCAACCACCTGCATCCCCCCTGTGCCTTATCCCACCTGTATCCCACCACCTGGATCCCCTGTGCCTTATCCCACCTAGATCCCACCACCTGCATCCCCGCTGTGCCTTATCCCACCTGCATCCCCCCCTGTGCCTTATCCCACCTGTATCCCACCACCGTGGATCCACCCTGTGCCTTATCCCACCTGGATCCCATGGGATTCCCTTCGCCCCCTCACCTTGCTGCTCCAGGAGCGCGTTCTGGCGCTTGAGGTCGTCGATGTCCTGCTGGTGCGTGTGGTTTTTCCGGCGCATGTACTGGATGTACTCTGTGGCTTTGTCCAGGATTTGCGCCCGGGATGCCTGTTGCAATAGTGGGAAAAGGCAGACGAGGCGAGATAAAGACCTAGGCCACGGAGGAGCCCATGGGATTCTGTCCGCCCCATCCCACCCGCGGCGCAGCAGCAGGGGGGGAGTGCGCGGTGCCGATGGCCCCGGAGCCCAGCTCTTGGCTTGGGGACCCCCGTGGGGAGGGCTGGGATGACTGTGACCTCCTGGTGGTGCTGGGTTAGGCTGAGAACTGAACCATGGAATCAGGGAATGGGGTGGGATGAAGGCAGCTTAAAGCTCCTTCAGCTCCAACGCCAACCCCTTCCACTGGAGCAGCTTGCTCCAAGCCCCTGTGTCCAACCTGCCCTTGAGCACTGCCAGGGATGGGGCAGCCACAGCTTCTCTGGGCACCCTGTGCCAGCGCCTCAGCACCCTCCCAGGGAAGAGCTTCTGCCTAAGAGCTCATCTCAGTCTCCCCTCAGGCAGGTTCAAGCCATTCCCCTTGGCCTGTCCCTACAGGCCCTTGTCCCAAGCCCCTCTCCAGGTTTCCTGCAGCCCCTTCAGGCACTGGAGCTGCTCTCAGGTCTCCTCTTCTCTTGTCCAGGCTGCCCCAGCCCAGCTCGCTCAGCCTGGCCCCAGAGCAGAGCTGCTCCAGCTCCCTTTTACCCCCATGGCCTCCTTCAAACTCCTTCCATCCACATCCCCTTTCATTTGTGCTCCCACAGCATCACAGAATGAGTTGGGATGAAGGCGCCATTCCCCTTGCCCTGTCCCTACATCCCTTGTCCCAAGCCCCTCTCCAGCTTTCCTGCAGCCCCTTTAGGAGCTGCTCCATGTTCTCCCCTTCCCACCCGCACCACCCTGGGTTCCCCAAGCGCCTCCAAGGGGCCGGACCCGCACAGCGGGGGGAGCCCAGCACCCAGCGCCCAGCACCCAGCACGCTCCCCAACCTCACCTTCTCCCCCTGCAGGGAGGGCACGGAGTCCCGCAGGCTGTGGAAGCTGTCCTTGATGTGGTCCCTGCGCTTGCGCTCCAGCGCGTTGTGGTGGGCGCGTTTGTCCGCCTTGGGGGTGGACGGGGGGGGCAAAGGGAGGTGAGGGTGGCACTGGGGTGGTGGTGGGGGGATCCATGCCCTGCTCCCCAGCACCGCTCTGGGGATGGATGCATGGGAAGAACCTCGGTACCCATGGGGAAGGATGCGGCTCTGGGGGCTTTGGGTTCCTGGGCCACCCCCCCCCATATGCCCTAGGGTACCCTCACCAGCAGGCATGGCCCCCATGGGTTACACCCCACATCCGGCCCCATAGGACACGTGAACCCCAAACCTCAGTGCCCCACAACAAGAGTCCCAGCCCCACAAAGCTCCCCCCACCCCGCTCCATCTCCCTCCGGATTCACAACCCCAGAAGTGGGCTCCTATCCCCAGCCCCACAGGTCCCCTCCTAAGAAGCCCCACAAGCCCATGAGTGCCCCCTCCCCACAAGACCCCAGCCCCACAGATCTCCCTCCTGCAAGAAGCCCAACCCCACATATGCCCCCTCTCGGCCCCACACGTCCCCCCCCCTAAGACCCCCTTGCCCCATGGGCATTCCCATGAGGACCCCATCCCCCAAGGAACTCCTATGCAGACCCCACCCAGGAGATCCCAGCCCCACAGATCCTCCCCTCCCCAGGAGACCCCAGCCCCACAGATGCCCCCCCCCCCAGGAGACCCCAGCTCCACAGATCTCCCCCAGCCCCACAGATCCTCCCCTCCCCAGGAGACCCCAGCCCCACAGATGCCCCCCCCCCCAGGAGACCCCAGCTCCACAGATCTCCCCCATCCCCACAGATCCCCCCCCAGAAGACCCCATCCCCACAGATGCCCCCCCCCCAAGGAGACCCCATCCCCACAGATCCCCCCCATCCCAACAGATCCCCCCGCAAGAGACCCCATCCCCACAGATCCCCCCATCCCCACAGATGCCACCCCCCCAGGAGACCCCATCCCCACAGATCCCCCCCAGGAGACCGCATCCCCACAGATCCCCTCCCCAGGAGACCCCAGCCCCACAGATCCCCTCCCCAGGAGACCCCAGCCCCACAGATCCCCCCCAGACACCCCCCCCCAGCAGATCCCCCCACAGATCCCCCAGATCCCCCCCAACAGATCCCCCCCCAGGAGACCCCACCCCCCCACAGACCCCCCCCCCATCCCCACAGATCCATCCTCCCCGGGACACCCCCAGCCCCACAGCTTCCCCTCCCCCCCCAATGACCCCATCCCCATTCGACACCCCCAAAACCCCATTCCCCCTCCCCCCGCCCCCCCTCCCCCCCACGTGCTCGGGTCCCGGCGCTTACCGCGGACTGGAACCGCGGCTGCTCCTCCTGATGGGGCCCGGTTGTGGGGGGAAGGGGCACGAACGGGACGAGGAGGAGGAAGAGGAGGAGGAAGGCACCAGGAAGGAAACGGCGGCGCGATGAGGAAGAGGGAACAGAAACCAAACGTTACCGGTGCTACCCCGCTCCCGCGGCCCATAGGGAAGCGATAGCGTGGGGGGTACAAAGGGGGAGGGTTGGGGGGGGCGTTCCTATCGCGCTGTCGCGACAGCGGGGCCCGACTCACGTCGCTCTCCACCTCGATGTCATCGTTGTCGCTCATCGCTACCGGCCGGGCCGCGCCGCCACAACAACAGCCCGCAGCGCGCAGGCGCGGGGTGGGAGGCGCACGTGACCGCGCACACCCCTTGCCGGCGCGGGGGATTGTGGGGGTTGTAGTTCGAGGGAGGGAAGATGGGTAGCGCCATCTTGGGGCGGGGACTACAGCTCCCGGCGTGCACCGCGCCACGGCGCGGTGCACGCCGGGAGCTGTAGTCCCCGCCTCAGCGTGGTGCTTGGGGCTTGCTGCCCCTCATGGAGGGAGGAGAAGCCGCGGCGAGGCGAAGATCGGAGATGGAAGAGGCTTTATTGAGGTATAGGGGGGTGGAAAGGGGCGGTAGGGGGCTGTGGGTCTGTCTGTGGATGTGGGGCTGGCCTGAGGGGCTTTAGGCTTGGTTAGGGGGTCTGTAGGCCCGCGTCAGGGGGGGCGATGGGGCTGGCTATGGGGCTGCAGGCCTGCCTGGGGGGGGGGATATGGGGCTGGCTATGGGGCTGCAGGTCTGGCCTGAGTGGCTGTGGGGCTGGCTATGGGGCTGCAGGTCTGGCCTGAGGGGCTGTGGGGCTGGCCTGAGGGGCTTTAGGCTTGGTTAGGGGCTCTGCAGGCCTGCCTGGGGGGGGGGGGATATGGGGCTGGCTATGGGGCTGCAGGTCTGGTCTGAGGGGCTGTGGGGCTGGCCTGAGGGGCTTTAGGCTTGGTTAGGGGGTCTGCAGGCCTGCCTGGAGGCGGCTGTGGGGCTGGCTGTGGGGCTGCAGGTCTGGTCTGAGGGGCTGTGGGGCTGGCCTGAGGGGCATTAGGCTTGGTTAGGGGTTCTGCAGGCCTGCCTGGGGGGGGGGGGGGATATGGGGCTGGCTATGGGGCTGCAGGTCTGGTCTGAGGGGCTGTGGGGCTGGCCTGAGGGGCTTTAGGCTTGGTTAGGGGAGTCTGCAGGCCTGCCTGGAGGTGGCTGTGGGGCTGGCTATGGGGCTGCAGGTATGGCCTGAGGGGCTGGCCTGAGGGGCTTTAGGCTTGGTTAGGGGGTCTGCAGGCCTGCCTGGAGGCGGCTGTGGGGCTGGCTGTGGGGCTGCAGGTCTGGCCTGAGGGGCTGTGGGGCTGGCCTGAGTGTCTTTGGGCTTGGTTAGGGGGTCTGTAGGCCCGCGTCAGGGGGGGCTATGGGGCTGGCTATGGGGCTGCAGGCCTGCCTGGGGGTGGCTGTGGGGCTGGCTATGGGGCTGCAGGCCTGCCTGGGGGAGCTATGGGGCTGGCTATGGGGCTACAGGCCTGCCTGGGGGGGGGGCTATGGGGATACAGGCCTGGCCTGAGGGACTTTAGGCTTGGTTAGGGGCTCTGCAGGCCTGCCTGGGGGGGGGGGCTATGGGGCTGGCTATAGGGCTGCAGGCCTGGCCTGAGGGCTTTGGGGTCTTTTTGGGGGCTGCATTGCTTCGCAACGGGGTCTTTAGGCCTGGCCTGGGGTTGCTGCAGAGGGGCCCTCTGGAAGCTTGAGCCTGCTCAGGAGTCTTTGGGCAGCTCCAGGGTGGGTTCAGCCCCCTACTTTTTGCTGTAGAGAACAAGGTGGGGGCCGCCCCCCAGGGCTGGAACGGGCCGGGCGGCTCTAACCCCGCTGCTCCTCATCCCCTGTGGGCAGCTCCTCGCGGCTGGAGGCCGGTGCTGGGCGCTCCTCCTGCTCCTCCTCGCCGTCCCCATCGCCCTCGGAGCCCGTCTGGTCCGAGGCGTCCTCCTCCAGGTAGCGGTAGCCGCGCATGCGGTGGCGCGGGCGCGGGATGCGGGGCAGGCGGTACTCCACGTGCTGCCCCAGCCGCTGCTCCATCCGCACGTAGGCCCCCACCGCCGCCACCAGCGTCGCCAGCAGGATGGAGAGCTTGGCCTGCAGCGGGGCCAGGAGGGGCTGAGCGTGGGGCTGCAGCCCCCTCAGCTCCCACGTCCATAGAACCATAGAATCGTTAGGGTAGGGAAGGAGCTGCAGATCACCCAGTTCCAACCCCCTGCCATGGGCAGGGACACCTCACACTAAACCATGGCACCCAAGGCTCTGTCCAACCTGGCCTTGAACACTGCCAGGGATGGAGCATTCACAACCTCCCTGGGCAACCCATTCCAGTGCCTCACCACCCTCACAGGAAAGAATTTCCTCCTTAGATCCAATCTAAACTTCCCCTGTTTCAGTTTGAACCCGTTACCCCTTGTCCTGTCACTGCAGTCCCTAATGAAGAGTCCCTCCCCAGCATCCCTATAGGCCCCCTTCAGACACTGGAAGCTGCTCTGAGGTCTCCCCGCAGCCTTCTCTTCTCCAGGCTGAACAGCCCCAACTTCCTCAGCCTGTCTTCATACAGGAGGTGCTCCAGCCCCTGAGCATCCTCGTGGCCTCCTCTGGCCTTGTTCCAACAGTTCCATGTCCTTTTTATGTTGAGGTTCTGCCCACCCCACCGCGGTCACCTTCATGGGTAGTTCTGACCAGAGGTAGACGGTGAAGATGGCCAGGGCTTGCCACCAGTGGTAGATGGTGAAGATGAAGTCCTGGCGCTCCTTGTTCTTGTACAACATGCCCAGGAGGACTGTGAGGGAGGAGAGCTGCTGTCAGGGTCCCCCTGTGGGGACACCGTGGGTCTGTCCTGCTCCTTGTCAGCGTGTCCAAGGAGCAGGTTGTGGCACGAGGAGGAAGCAGGGGGGGACACAAGAGAGGCCGTGCTGGGGACCTTCCCGCTACTCACTGCTGATGCTGGTCTTGTTGAGGGCGCTCCCCGTGCCCCAGAGCGCGGCGATGGCGTAGAGCAGAGGAGCCTGGCCCACGAGCCGGGGCTCCGGTGCCCAGCAGAACAGCGTCACCAGGAGGGCAGCGTGGATGAAGGCTCCAGCCAGCAGCGGGATGTGCCGCTGCAGGCGCAGCATGCCCAGGGCCAGGCTGGAGCAGGCCGAGGCGGACAGCCCGTAGGCCATGAGGAGATAGGCCAGCTTCTCCAGCCCCAGGGCGCACACCCCATAGTTCTGCAGGGAAGAACGGGCTCGGCGTCACTTGGGTTGTCCCTGCTTTGTCACCTCCCCTCTGTCCCCATCCATCCCTACCAGGGAGAAGCCGGTGCAGACAAAGAGCACCTCGAAGCCGCTGTAGATGAAGATGGGGAAGAGGTGGCGCAGGCGATAGTCCCTCATGTGCTTGAAGGGCAGCTGGAAGATGTTCCCCCAGCCGATGCTGCGCAGGTCGATCTCCTCCGTGGGTCGATAGGCTGCACCGCAGAGCACCAGGACCTGCGTGTGGGGAAGGGCACGGAGCACCGCATCCCAAGCGAGAGGGTTTGGCTTGCAAAGGACCTTAGGATCGCCCGGTTGCAACCCTTCTGCCGTGGATGGCAAAGCACGTGCAGGACAACAAGGGGATCAACACGGTCAGCACCAGAAGGGCAGGTCCTGCTTGACCGACCTCATCTCCTCCTGCAACAATTGACCTGCCTGGTGAATGAGGGAAAGGCTGTGGACATTGCCCCTCTGGACCCTAGCAAAGCATCGATGCGGTGTCCCGCAGTGTTCTCCTGGAGACACTGGCTGCTCATGGCCCCGGGTGGGTGGATTCTTTGCTGGATAAAAGGCTGGCTGGCTGGCAGAGCCTAGAGAGTGCTGGTGAACGGTGTCACATCTAGATGGTGACCGGTCACTGGTGGTGGCCCTCAGGGCTTGGGGTTGGGGCCAGTGCTGTTTGCTATCTTCATTGATGATCTGGATGAGGGCATGGAGGGCACCCTGAGTCACTTCACATGACACCAAGGGCGGGAGCTGATCTGCTGGAGGGAGGATAGGGAGGCTCTGCAAGAAGGATCCGGCCAGGCTGGATCCCTGCGTTGTGGTCACTGGTGTGAGATCCAACCAGGCTCGGTGCTGGGTCCTCACCCTGGGCCACAGCAGCCCCATGGAACGCTCCAGGCTGGAAAGGAGCTGCTGGAGCTGAGCAGGAGCAGCTTGTGCCCAGGCAGCCAAGAAGCCCCCAGCATCCTGGTACTGCACCAGCACCAGTGCGGCAGCAGGAGCAGGGCAGGGATTGGGCACGGGGCTGGGCACTGGGGAGGCTGCACCTCGAATCCTGTGCTCAGCTCTGGGCCCCTCACTGCAAGAGAGACCTTGAGGTGCTGGAGCGGGGCCAGAGAAGGGAACGGAGCTGGAGCAGGGCCTGGAGCCCAGGTGTGATGCTGAGGGAAGTGTGGAGAAAGGCTCAGGGGGGACCTGATGGCTGCCTCCAAGTGCCTGAGAGGAGGATGGAGCCAGGAGGGGCTGGGCTCTGCTCCCAAGGAACAAGGGATGGGACAAGAGGAAACGGCCTCAAGCTGCCCCAGGGCAGGTTTAGATGGAGCTGAGGAACAATTCCTGCCCCAGAGGGTGCTCAGGCATTGGAACAGGCTGCCCAGGGCAGGGCTGCAGGCACCGGCCCTGGGGGTGCTTAGAGGATGTGTGGATGTGGCTCTTGGGGACGTGAGCCTTGGCAGTGCTGGGCAATGGTTGCGCTGGATGATCCTAAAGCTCTTTACCAACCCAGCTGATTCCATGATTCCATAGGGATGATGCTGGCCCTGCTGGAGCCCTGTGCCCAGCTCACTCACCACCAGCATGGCGAGGAAGGCGGCCGCCATCAGCACGCTGTCCACCACGATGAGGTTGACGCTGCGGGGCAGGCTCTGCAGCACCGTGGTGTTGAAGCCGGGCAGGGTGCCGTGGCTCAGGGTCCCTGTTGGGGGGGCACACACCGTGGTTCCTGCCCACCCGGAGGTCCCGCTGCCACCCCACCGCACCACCCCGTCCTCACCGCAGTGCTTGACCCCGAAGAGCGTGTGGTTGAGCTGGTAGAGGTAGTCGTTGAGGAAGAAGAGCATGGGCATCTGGGCGCAGACGAAGCTCAACTGCAGCACGGAGAGCAGGAGGTGCTCAGCACCACGTTGCCCACCCCATCCCATTCCCTGGGCCAGCACTCACGTGGAAGAAGGCATAGAAGATGGTCTGGAAGACGATGATGTAGGCATCACTGGCCCCTCGTGGCGCCCGCTGCTCCTCCTTGTAGTTGACGTGCTCGTGGTACTTCTGGGCCATCCTGCATGGCACCGTGGGTCAGTTGGGTGTCACCCAGGACCTCACACCCACCCCACCCCTGGCCTACCTGGTGATGTAGTTGCCCAGGGAAGCCCAGAGGGGCACGATGGCCACCCCGATGGCCACGGCGGAGGGCACCAACGTGTAGTAGCGCTCCCAGTAGTTGCTGGAGACGAAGAAGGCGTAGATACCCACGGCGAGGAACATGGCCCACTTGATGCCAAAGAACCTGCCAGGGATTGGAGAGGGCAGCACGGATTCCCGTTGGGAAGGCTGTTGGGCAGCATGGAGAGTGCCCTACCTGATGAGGACGGGGGTATAGAGCAGCGCCGCGATGGGGGTGACGTTGATGCCCATCAACACCTTGCGGTCGATGTCCTCCAGTTGGATGTTGCTGTACTTCACCTCCCGGTACGTCTCGTCGTAGTGCAGGATCAGCTGCATCTGCAGCAGGCCTGAGGAGGGGGGGGGTCCAGAGCCGGTCACCCCCCCCAAACCCACACTGGGGGCCCCTGAGGAGCAGCAGGACCATACCCAGGTACACCCCATAGGTGAGGGTCCCGGCCAGGCTGGCGGCCAACACGTTCTTGATGACCCCCAGGCGCTTGCGGCGGAAGAACTTGTGCTCCTCCTCCTCCTCGTTGTAGTCGGGGTGAGCACCCACAAAGTCATCCAGCTGTTGGGGTGGGGGGGGACAGTGGCTGTCAGCCCCCGGCGTGGGGGGGGAGCACCACTGGGACCCTATGGGGGGCACCCATAGGGACCTCACCTGCGTCTCTGTCCCCTCAGCACCCAGCCTGTCACCCGCCACTGCCGTGGCTGCATCCTGGTACACGCTGGGGTCCTTCTGCATCCTGCCTCCGGGGGGGGGGGGCCTGCATGGGGCGGGGAAGGGGTTGGGGCGCTGTTGGTAACCCCCAAGCGCTGCACCCATGTGCTTTGCACCCATGGACCCTGCACCCAGCGCCCCCAGAGCTGCACCCATGCACTTTGCACCCCTGCACCTGCGGACCCTGTGCCCAGCACCCCCAACCCTTGCACCTTTGCACCGTTGTGCCCAGCACCCCCAGATCCAGCACCCTCATCCCTTGCACCCATGTGCTTTGAACCCACAGACCTGAGCCCAGCACCCACAGACCTGCACCCATGCACTTTGCCCCCCCACCCCGCCAGACCCTGTACCCATGTCTTGCACCCCCAACCCTTCACCTCAGCACCCAGCACTCCCAGCCCCGCACCCAGCATCCCCAGCCCAGCACCCCAGCCCCGCACCCAGCACCCCAGCCCCGCACCCAGCACCCCAGCCCCGCACCCAGCACCCCCAGCCCCGCACCCAGCACTCCCAGCCCCGCACCCAGCACCCCCAGCCCCGCACCCAGCACCCCAACCCCGCACCCAGCACCCCCAGCCCCGCACCCATCACCCCCAGCCCCGCACCCAGCACCCCGAGCCCCGCACCCAGCACCCCCAGCCCCGCACCCCTCACCCCCAGCCCCGCACCCAGCACCCCCAGCCCCGCACCCAGCACTCCCAGCCCCGCACCCAGCACCCCAGCCCCGCACCCAGCACCCCCAGCCCCGCACCCATCACCCCCAGCCCCGCACCCAACACCCCCAGCCCCGCACCCAGCCCCCAGCCCCGCACCCAGCACTCCCAGCCCCGCACCCAGCACCCCGAGCCCCGCACCCAGCACCCCCAGCCCCGCACCCAGCACCCCCAGCCCCGCACCCAACACCCCCAGCCCCGCACCCATCACCCCCAGCCCCGCACCCAGCACCCCCGGTATCCGCTCCCCTACCGGAGCCCGGGGCGGGGCGGGCGCCGCTTCCTCTTTCGGATGGGGCGGGCGGGACGGGGACGCTTAAAGGGGCCGATCCTGCACCCCCAGCACCCTGACCCCTGCACAGCACCCATTGAACCCCCCAGCACCCTGACCCCTGCACAGCACCCATTGAACCCCCCCAGCACCCATTGAACCCTTGAAACCCCCCCAGCACCCTGACCCCTGCACAGCACCCATTGAACCCCCCCAGCACCCTGACCCCTGCACAGCACCCATTGAACCCCCCAGCACCCTGACCCCTGCACAGCACCCATTGAGCCCCCCAGCACCCTGACCCCTGCACAGCAACCACTGAACCCCTCCCAGCACCCTGACCCGTGCACAGCACCCACTGAACCCCCCCCAGCACCCTGACCCTGCACAGACCCCTGCACAGCACCCATTGAACCCCCCCCAGCACCCTGACCCCTGCACAGCACCCATTGAACCCCCCCAGCACTGACCCCTGAACCCTATTGACTCCCCCCAGCACCCTGAAACCCCCCCAGCACCCTGACCCTGACCCCTGCACAGCACCCACTGAACTCCCAGCACCCTGACCCCTGCACAGCACCCATTGAACCCCCCCCAGCACCCTGACCCCTGCACAGCACCCATTGAACCCCCCAGCACCCTGACCCCTGCACAGCACCCATTGAACCCCCCACAGCACCCTGACCCCTGCACAGCACCCATTGAACCCCCCAGCACCCTGACCCCATCCCCATCCCACCAGCCCTCGCACCGGGCCCCGGTGTGGGTGCTCCAGCCCTGGGTGCTGGGTGCTACCGGGTCCCTCCACTCTCGCTTCCCCTTCCCAACCCTGGGCCGTTTGTGGGTGCGGGGCCGGTTTGGGGGTGACCGGACACGTGCGGGTCCTTACGGCACCCGATCCCGGTGCTGGGAGCACCCATGGGTGCGTGGCCAGGCGGGGGTGCCCGGGGGCAGGGAGGGCCCGAAGGTGACGTCCTGGCATGGTCACGGGACCGGAGCAGGATCCGGCCCGGCCGGTACTGGGGGATGCCTGGGGTGAGGAGAAGGAGCCACCAGTGCTGGGGGGGGTTCAGTGGGTGCTGTGCAGGGGTCAGGGTGCTGGGGGGAGTCAATGAGTGCTGTGCAGGGGTCAGGGTGCTGGGGGGGGTCAGTGGGTGCTGTGCAGGGGTCAGGGTGCTGGGAGTTCAGTGGGTGCTGTGCAGGGGTCAGGGTGCTGGGGGGAGTCAATAGGTGCTGTGCAGGGGTCAGGATGCTGGGGGAGTTCAGTGGGTGCTGTGCAGGGGTCAGGGTGCTGGGGGGGCTTCAAGGGTTCAATGGGTGCTGTGCAGGGGTCAGGGTGCTGTGCAGGGGTCAGGGGGTGCTCAGTGGGTGCTGTGCAAGGGTCAGGTGCTGGGGGGGTGCAGGGGTGCTGTGCAGGGGTCAGGGTGCTGGGGGGGTTCAGTGGGTGCTGTGCAGGGGTCAGTGCTGGGAGGGGTTCAGTGGGTGCTGTGCAGGGGTCAGGGTGCTGGGGGGAGTCAATAGGTGATGTACAGGGGTCAGTGCTGGGGGGGGTTCGATGGGTGCTGTGCAGGGGTCAGGGTGCTGGGGAGGGCTCAGTGGGTGCTGTGCAGGGGTTCAGTGGGTGCTGTGCAGGGGTCAGGGTGTTGGGGGTGGTCAGTGGGTACTGTGCAGGGGTCACGGTGCTGGGGGAGTTCAGTGGGTGCTGTGCAGGGGTCAGGGTGCTGTGCAGGGGTTCAGTGGGTGCTGTGCAGGGGTCAGGGTGTTGGGGGTGGTCAGTGGGTACTGTGCAGGGGTCAGGGTGCTGGGGGTTCAGTGGATGCTGTGCAGGGGTCACGGGTGCTGTGCAGGGGTCAGGTGCTGGGGGAGTTCAGTGGGTGCTGTGCAGGGGTCAGGGTGCTGCAGGGGTTCAGTGGGTGCTGTGGGGGTCAGTGGGTGCTGGGGGGGTTCAGTGGGTGCTGTGCAGGGGTCAGGGTGCTGGGAGGGGTTCAGTGGGTGCTGTGCAGGGGTCAGGGTGCTGGGGGGGGTTCAGTGGGTGCTGTGCACGGGTCAGGGTGCTGGGAGGGGTTCAGTGGGTGCTGTGCAGGGGTCAGGGTGCTGGGAGTTCAGTGGGTGCTGTGCAGGGTTCAGGGTGCTGGGGGGGGGGTTCAGTGGGTGCTGGGAGTTCAGTGGATGCTGTGCAGGGGTCACGGTGCTGGGGGGGGTCAGTGGGTGCTGGGAGGTCAGTGGGTGCTGTGCAGGGGTCAGGGTGCTGGGGGGGGTTCAGTGGGTGCTGTGCAGGGGTCAGGGTGCTGGGGGGGGTTCAGTGGGTGCTGTGCAGGGGTCAGGGTGCTGGGAGGGTTCAATGGGTGCTGTGCAGGAGTCACGGTGCTGGGGGGGGTCAATGGGTGAAGTGCTGGGGGGTCAGGGTGCTGGGGGGGTTCAATGGGTGCTGTGCAGGGGTCAGGGTGCTGGGGGGTTCAATGGGTGCTGTGCAGGGGTCAGGGTGCTGGGGGGGGTTCAATGGGTGCTGTGCAAGGGTCAGGGTGCTGGGGGGGGTTCAATGGGTGCTGTGCAAGGGTCAGGGTGCTGGGGGGGGTTCAATGGGTGCTGTGCAAGGGTCAGGGTGCTGGGGGAGTTCAGTGGGTGCTGTGCAGGGGTCAGGGTGCTGGGGAGTTCAATGGGTGCTGTGCAGGGGTCAGGGTGCTGGGGGGGTTCAGTGGGTGCTGTGCAAGGGTCAGGGTGCTGGGGGAGTTCAATGGGTGCTGTGCAGGGGTCAGGGTGCTGGGGGAGTTCAATGGGTGCTGTGCAGGGGTCTGGGTGCTGGGGGGGGGTTCAGTGGGTGCTGTGCAGGGGTCAGGGTGCTGGGGGGGGGGTTCAGTGGGTGCTGTGCAGGGGTCAGGGTGCTGGGGGAGGGTTCAGTGGGTGCTGTGCAGGGGTCAGGGTGCTGGGGGGGGGTTCAGTGGGTGCTGTGCAGGGGTCAGGGTGCTGGGGGGGGTTGTGCAGTGTAATGGGGCCCCCCCCATGATCCCATTCCAGTCTCTGATCCCTGCTGTCCCTTTAGGTCTCCGGTGACGTGAGGCATCCTCCATGGGGACAGCGGCTGCTTGGGGACAACTGCGTCACCCTCTTTGGGTGCTGCCATGGGGGTGCTGTGGGTGAGCCCCATGGTGCTGGGGATGTGGGGCAGGGCACCTGGGGGGTGCCTATGGGGTGCCCTTTGGTCAGGGTGGCCCTGGATACCAGCTCCATGGGTGCTTATGGGTTCCCCATGGTTCATGGTGGTGCTGGGGCCCACAGGAGACCCCCCAGGACCACTGTCCATGGAGGGGAGGTCCCAGCCCAGGCCTTGGCCCCATTGCCGGCCCCACAGAGGCGGGGCCCAGCCCTGCCCATCGCTGGCCATGGGGCCTGGCCACCAGCCCCACAGCATTTAGGGGCATCCCCCTGAGCATCAGCAGCACCTCCAGCTCCTCTGGCCACCGCTCAGCCCCACAGGTGAGCCCTTTGGGGTCCCACGGCGGCTGTGGGGCACCCCTCTGGGTGGGTTCCCTTGAGGGAAGGTGGGTTCATTGGGGCACGGAGAGGGGCAGCTATGGGGCTGCAGCTCTGCCCCACAGCTCCTGGCGCGCTGGTGGACCCAAGCGGGCTGTGGAAGTCCCAGTGCTGGCCCCCACTGAGGGGGCTCCGTGTGGGTCCTTGAGGTCCCCATGGGGTGACCCCACAGCAGCAGGTGGTGGTGGCGATGATCCCGGGAATGCCAGGCATGTCCCGCCGGGATGAGTCAGGCCGGGACAGCCCCAAGCAGCACAGCTTCACCCTCCAGAGGTGCCACAGGCAGCCCTGGGACATGGGTGACTCCTGCTGGGATCCGGCACTTCCAGCTCCGGCATTCCAGCACTTCCATCCCAGCAGCTCCTTCCGAGGCCTTGGCATGCAGCAAGCCCTTGAGCTCCCCGGGCAGCAGCCAGGGAAGTGCATCCCTGTGGGCAGCGATCCCGGGAATGCCGCCGGCTGCTGTGGAGGCGGTGGGAGCAGCAGCGGGAGCGTGGGGAAGGGGCCCGTGATGTGCACTGCTGGATGGTGAGAGCGAGGGGCTGGGGGGGGGGAAAGGGAGACACAGGGTGATGGGGTCCCCATGGTGCTGATGAAGAGGGGGAGAGGTTTTGGGGTCCAGGGGCTGCCGCATCCCAGCAGCTCCCGGGGCTGGGAATGCTCCTGAGGAGGATGAGGGTGGTGATGGGAAGGGGAGCATGGATGGTGATGGGAGAGCGTGAGGCTGGGATGAATGGGAGTAGGAGGGGTCTGGGTGCTCTGCCCTCACCCCGGGGTGCTGTTTGGTGCTGGGTTGGGGTGATGAGGAGCTGGGTGCTGATGAAGGGTGCTGGGGGACAGGTTTGGGGTCCATGGACCAAGGGATGAGAGAAGGGAACGCTGGGATCAGTGCCATGGAGGGGGCACAGGAGGGGACTCCCTGCCCCATCCCTGGGGTCTGTGGGGCTCCCGTTTGGGGCGCTGTGGGGGGACAACACATGGGGCTGTGATGGGCTTGGGGTCCCTCTGACAGCCCCATGCGTGCAGCGGGAACCCCTATGCGGGGCTGGTGGCCCTGCTGCGGGCAGCCTGGCTCTCGGGGAAGACGCGGCCCATGGAGTACCGGGTGGCGCAGCTGGAGGCCCTGGGCCGCTTCCTGGAGGACAAGAAGCAGGAGATCCTGGAGGCCACGGCCCTGGACGTGGGCAAGGTGAGGGGAAGGGGGGAGCCGGGTGCTGGGTGCACCTTTGGGACCGTTCATAGCCCTTCCTCTGGGTCTCGCGTGTGTGTGGGGCTCTGTGGGCATCCTCCCTGGGGTCCTGCGTGCCCCTTGCTGTGCTTCAGGGCTGCCGTGGGGCACCCATAGGTGCTGCTTCGGCACAGAGCTCTCTGGACATAGGGACCGTGTTCCCATCCCCGGAGCATTCAACCAAGGCCCCATTGGCCGATGCGAGGGGGGGACCCCGGGGATCACCGAGCTTTGCCCCACACGTGGAGTCAGGGGTGGCTTCAGGTGCCCTCCGCAGCGGTGATGTCTTGGGGTGCCCCTCAGCAGCACGGTGGCACCCGGGATTACCGGCGGTGTTGTGCAACGTGCTGGGGTTGCACATTCCTGCCGGGGCTCCTGGCGGGGACTGGTTCCACTGGGATGTGCATCCGGGTCCCTCCTGGATGCGGCCCTGCGTGTTGCAGCGCGCTGCCGCGGCAGCAGCATCCCCACCGTAGCTCTGCCTTGTGCTTTGAGCTCGTCTCCTCTCCATGTGGGTGCTTCAGGGCCCTTTTCCCCTCCCGGAGGTTTGCTGCAGCCCACCCCATGCTTCCCTCCTGGACCACCGGGAGATGCTCTCAGAGGGGTAACTGCCCTTATCACGCCGTGGGATCACTCAGCCCTAAAGGCCTTGCATCCAGGGGTGTATCCGAGCCGGCTTTCAACATCCTGCCCTCTCCCAGCCTTTGTAATTGCCTTGTTTGTGTGAGGGGAGGCCCTTCTCCTTCAGCATCAGATGGGCAGCAGAGCTCCAAGTGCGTCCTTCGCCTCTCCTAATTGCCTGTAATTAGTTCCTGTTGTCCACTCACGCGTTTGTTATGCAGTTGGACCTTCATAGTTAGATGGACAATTCACCTGCTCTTGCGTATCTGAGGTGGGTGCCTCACCTGCTCCCCACTGATCTTGGAAGGCACTTGGATGACCTCAGCTGGAATATCCCATCTCCTAACCTTGATGTCTCCTTGGAACCCTTAATCTGCAGCGGCAGTTTCCTCATCCTTGCAGTGATGCAACTCTCAAAGACGGGGCTGAGAGCATCCCCGGTGCTTCACCGGCCACCTCCTGGCCTTGCTGAGCCCTCCCGTGCAGCTCAGCCTCTTGGCAGTGACACATCCAGTGGCACTGGGCACCTGAAGGTCTCTCCTGAGGGGGCTTTGGTGGTGGAACATCAGAAGTTGCTGCCTCCGAGCCCCCCAACCCCAAAGTGGTGATGGAGGAAGGCTCCCACCCTTTGGGTGGGTTGGAGGAGTCTGAAGGATGTTGGGATGTGCTTTGCAGCGCAGGAGCTTTGCTCTTCCTGCTCTCCAGGCCTTTGGAAGGGCTTTCCTGGGCCTGCTCACTATCTTCTTGTGTCTTCCCACTGCTCCTGCAAGGACATCCTGAGCTGTGCTTCGTGCTTACAGCAGCGGAGAGGACCCACCGTGGGCAGGATGGGCCTTGGAAGCCGCTGTGGTCCCGGCTCTGGTGTCCCAGCACCGTTCCCCATCACTGTCCATGTGGGCATTGTGTCCGTTGCCCATTGGGATGGCTTATGTTGGGTTCAATTCCCAAACGGAGGCATCTCGCCCCACCTGCCTTTCTGTCTCTTCTGGGGGTCAGGACATGGGCCCAGCAGTGGGAGCATGGTCCCATCCGCTGTCTGCAGCATGGAGACACCAGCACCGGCTTGTCTGGAGCTCCTGGGGCCATTGCTTGGTCCCCCCTTGGCTCAGGGCTCCTGCCCCATCAAGCAGGTCACAGATGGGGTCTCAGGAGAAGGATAAATGTTGTGGAGATGTTAAAGGGGCTGCAGGAAACCTGTAGGGAAGGGCCAAGGGGAATGGCTTTAACCCGCCAGAGGGAGATCAAGATGAGTGGAAGGTGTCCCTGCCCATGGCAGGGGGGTGGAACTGGCTGGGCTTTAAGGTCCCTTCCAGCACAAACCTTCTCTGGTTGTGCTTAATAACTTCTACTTAATGCCTTCTGCTCCTCTTCATGGGCAGAAGAGGGGGGAGATGCCTCCTGTGGAAGGGGAGATGAGGGGGTCGGTGTTGGGGTGATGTCTGTCCTGATGATCCATGATGATGTCTGTCCCCAGCCATCCTTCGAGGCTTATCTCATTGAGATCCTCCTGTGCAAGAACGAGCTCAACAACACCCTGAACAACCTGTGCCACTGGATGAAGGACGAGCACGTGGGCAAGAACCTGGTGAGGCAGGAGCTCTGCGTTGGGAAGGGAAGAGGGGGACACTCATGGGGCAGAGCAGCTCAGGGAGGGGACAGCCCTGAGCTCATGGTCTCATTGCAGATGACACAGCTGGACTCTGCCTTCATCCGCAAGGACCCCTATGGCGTGGTGCTCATCATTGGGCCTTGGAACTACCCCATCCACCTCATCCTGGGGCCTCTCATTGGGGCCATCGCTGCTGGTGAGCTGAGCATCCAGGCTGGGGGGCCCCAAGGGCTGGTTGGCACCCAGTCACTGCGATGATGTCCTCTCCATCTCCTCCCAGGTAACTGTGTTGTCATCAAGCCCTCTGAGAAGGCCAAGAACACTGGAAGGCTCCTTGCTGAATCGCTGGGCTGCTACCTGGACAGTGTGAGGAGCAATTCCTGCCCTTATCCCCATCCCTGCCCCAGGGCCATGGTGTTCCCAACCCTGCCTTGCCCTCACCAGCACTGCTCTGAGGTGCTGCTGTACCTCCTTCCTCCGGTGTCCACGTGCCTGGGATGCTGTTGGTGGGGATGGGGACACAGCAGACATGGGTGATGCTGACCGTGGGGGACCCTTCCTCTTGCACTGCAGGACTGCTTTGCCGTGGTGACCGCTGGTGCTCAGGAGACCAGCAGGCTGCTGGAGAACAAGTTTGACTACATCTTCTTCACTGGTATGTCCAGAGCAGAGCCTGCTGTGGGGTTGGTGCAATGCGGGAAGAGGGATACCCCATTGTTCCTTACGCCTGCGCTTGCCTGCCCTCTAAGAAGTCAGAGCTCGTTGTGCTGGAGATGCGGTCTCAGGATGTGTTGGAGGCTCCAGGATGTTGTAACGGGGGGGAGCACAGGAGCCTGTAGGGCCAGGCCAAGGGGAATGGCTTTAACCTGCCTGAGAGGAGACTGAGATGAGCTCTTAGGCAGAAGCTCTTCCCTGGGAGGGTGCTGAGGCGCTGGCACAGGGTGCCCAGAGAAGCTGTGGCTGCCCCATCCCTGGCAGTGTTCAAGGCCAGGTTGGACACAGGGGCTTGGAGCAAGCTGCTCTAGTGGAAGGGGTCGGGGTTGGAACTGGGTGAGCTTTAAGCTCCCTTCCATCCCAACCCATTCCATGGCTCTACGCTTGTACCTGAGGGTTGGTGGGACCTGGCTCCCCAGCGCGCTCCCTCCCAGAGCCAGCCTGTACCTGGTGTGTTCCCAGCCCTGACTCCGCTCTTCCCTTGCCCGCAGGCAGCCCCTCCGTGGGGAGGGTGGTGATGGCAGCCGCTGCCCAGCACCTCACCCCGGTGACGCTGGAGCTGGGGGGCAAGAACCCCTGTTACGTGTCGGAGCCGTGCGACGTGCGCAGCGTGGCCCGGCGGGTGGCCTGGGGCCGCTTCTTCAACGCGGGGCAGACCTGCGTGGCCCCCGACTACGTGCTCTGCACCCTGGAGCTGCAGGAGAAGCTGCTGCCCGCCCTGCGCGAGGCCATCACCGAGTTCTATGGCTCCAACCCTCGGGAATCGCCCGACTTCGGGCGCATCGTGGACCAGAAGGAATTCCAGCGGCTGCGGGCGCTGCTGCGCAGCGGGAGGGTGGCCATCGGCGGGCAGGCGGAGGAGGAGGAGCGGTACATCGGTGAGGACGTGGGGCTGGGCGATGCTGGGAGCCCCTGTGCTGGGGCACCGGGTGATGTGATGCCGTAACCCTTCCCCACAGCTCCCACGGTGCTGGCGGACGTGCTGCCCTCGGATCCCATCATGCAGGAGGAGATCTTCGGGCCCATCCTGCCCATGGTCGTCGTGGCCAGCATGGATGAAGCCATTGAGTTCATCAACGAGAGGCCGCGGCCGTTGGCCGTCTACGCCTTCTCCAGTGATTGCAAGGTGTGTGGAGGGCATGGGACAGGAAAGGGGGGGTGAGGAAGTAGGGCGTTAGGGCTTGTGCCCAACTCACTGAAGCCCCAGAGCATGCTCTGAGGGGGCTTTTGAGCCCTGCTCTGAGCACATGAGACTGGTGGATGAGGTGGGTGATGATGAGGTGAGACCCCCACTCTGGAGCGCTGTGTTCAGCTCTGGGGCAGCAGCACAAGAGGGATGTGGAGCTGTTGGAGAGGGGCCAGAGGTATCCATGGGGATGCTGCGAGGGCTGGAGCAGCTCTGCTCTGGAGCCAGGCTGAGAGAGCTGGGCTGGGGCAGCCTGGAGAAGAGAAGGCTCCTGAAGGGGAGACCTGAGAGCAGCTCCAGTGCCTGAAGGGGCTGCAGGGAACCTGGAGAGGGGTTTGGGACAAGGGATGTAGGGACAGGCCAAGGGGAATGGCTGGAACCTGCCCGAGGGGAGACTGAGATGAGCTCTGAGGCAGAAGCTCTTCCCTGGGAGGGTGCTGAGGCGCTGGCACAGGGTGCCCAGAGAAGCTGTGGCTGCCCCATCCCTGGCAGTGCTCAAGGCCAGGTTGGACACAGGGGCTCGGAGCAAGCTGCTCCAGTGGAAGGGGTTGGGGCTGGAGCTGGAGGAGCTTTAAGGTCCAAGCGTTGCCGGTGGAACCAAAGTGTGAGGCCCACGTCCACCTCCTCTGCCCCCCTCCCAGGTGGTGGCCCAGGTCCTGGAGCGCACGAGCAGCGGTGGCTTCTGTGGCAATGACACCCTGACACACATGACACTGACCTCGCTGCCCTTCGGTGGCATCGGTAGGTGCAAACCCCAACCCTGCCTGTCCCTGGCCACCGGGAGCCTGAACCGCGCTGGCCACGGGTGAGGAAGGGTCCTGGTGGCCCCAGAGCTCCGTGGTGTGCAGGAAACCCCTTCTGCACCTCTAGGACTTCACCAGAGCCCTTGGCTTCACTGCACAAGGGCTGAGCTCTCGGGCTTTGCACTGTGAGCTTCTCCTCTCCATGTTTGCTGTCCCAGCCACCACATTCCCTGTGTGTGTGCAGATGGTCCGTATAAAAGGTTGGGAATTCTCTACCCCTTGGTTGTTTCCCTGCTATTTCTGAGCAGTGTGGGGCACTGTGGGTGAGTTTTGTGCCAGGGTTGGGCTCCTGCCTTGCTCAAGTGAGAGGGAAGCGTTGCTCCTTTTGGTCTGTCCTCACTATGGAGCACATCAGCTCGTTGTGCTCTTGGATAGGTGATGGCTAAGTGGATGGCTCTTCCTCCTCCAGCCATCCTGGTGCTGGATTGGGGCCCTCAGCATCCCTCAGGAGCAGACTTGTGCCTTCATTCTGCCTTTTAGGACTAAAACAGTGCGGGCAAAACTCTTGTAACCATCTGGAGAACCTTCTTATGGTGCCTTGGGGATGGGCAAGACAAAGAGTTTGTGGTCTCCAGGGGCAACAACAGTTGTATTCTCAGGTGAAACGTGAGGTCTGCTCTGCCCTGGGCCCTGCCTGGTGCATTATCCCCGGAAAACAGGAATCCTCTCCCAAAACTTTCCCAACCTCCTGGTCTCCAGAGTGTCCTCACCTCAGTCTGCTGCTGCCTGTGCTCAGCAGCTTGCATCAGACATAATGGGACACCACAAAGGCCAACCACAATTAATTCCTCACCTGCCTGTGGCTCAGGAACAATCCTTGGTGGTTCCTGTTCCAGAACTTATCTTTATGGAAGTGATTCAGCCAAACTACCTGGGATGAGGAGGTGAAGCCAGGGTGAGCTCATCACCCGGCTGAGATGGCATTTGTCAAAGCTTCCACACCACAGCAGTCATTGGGCTTTTAACCACCCTGTGCAGCCTCAGGATGAAACCAGCCCCGGCAACTGGGAGAACTGGTGGTGATAACGGGGGCTCCCAGCTGGAAATACTCTGGGAAGAAGCTGAGCTTCATAGGGGCCACACTGGTAGCTCCTCACCATGGGGAGAGAGAGGAGATTGAGAGCAGCCCAAGGAGAAGGACTTGGGGGTGTTGGTTGATGAGAAAATGAACATGAGCCGGCTTCAGTGTGAGCTCACAGCCCAGAAACCAACCGTGTCCTGGGCTGCATCCAAAGGAGCGTGACCAGCAGGTCCAAGGAGGTGATCCTGCCCCTCTGCTCTGCTCTCGTGAGACCTCACCTGGAGCATTGTGTGCAGTTCTGGTGTCCTCAACATAAAAAGGACATGGAACTGTTGGAACAAGTCCAGAGGAGGCCACGAGGATGCTCAGGGGCTGGAGCACCTCCTGTATGAAGACAGGCTGAGAAAGTTGGGGCTGTTGAGCCTGGAGAAGAGAAGGCTGCGTGGAGACCTCAGAGCAGCTTCCAGTATCTGAAGGGGGCCTATAGGGATGCTGGGGAGGGACTCTTCATTAGGGACTGCAGTGACAGGACAAGGGGTAACGGGTTCAAACTGAAACAGGGGAAGTTTAGATTGGATCTAAGGAGGAAATTCTTTCCTGTGAGGGTGCTGAGGCACTGGAATGGGTTGCCCAGGGAGGTTGTGAATGCTCCATCCCTGGCAGTGTTCAAGGCCAGGTTGGACAGAGCCTTGGGTGCCATGGTTTAGTGTGAGGTGTGCCTGCCCATGGCAGGGGGTTGGAACTGGATGATTTTAAGCTCCTTTCCAACCCAACCCGTTCCTTGATTCTATGATTGAGGAGCTGTAGAGCTGGAAAAGGCCAAGGGAAAGGCGAGGTCTCCATCGCCACATCCCCGCTTCCAGGAGCAAAGCTTTCCCTGCGTCACGCTTGGAGCAGGCAGGAGCAGAGCCCCGGGGCAGGTCTGGACCTGTGCTCTGTGTTCCAGGCTGCAGCGGGCTGGGCAAGTACCACGGCAAGTTCACCTTCGACACCTTCAGCCACCAGCGCGGGTGCCTGCACCGCAACATGGGCCTGGAGGCCCTCAACGCCCTGCGCTACCCCCCCTACAGCCAGCAGAAGCTGGGCTTCCTCACGGCCGCCTTCGAGGTGAAGCGCAAGGGCACCTGCACCCTGCTCTGAGGCTGCTCCGCACCCTCCTGCGGTCAGGATGGGGACGCCTCGCGGCGCCGCCGGTGTCCTCCTCTCCTCCCTTTCCCCCTCCTTGGCCTTGGGCAGCGGGATGGGCGCCTCGTCCTGCACCCGGTGGGCTCCACGGTGGACTCTGCTCTGCATCCTCGGCGTGGACACGAGATGGAGGGGCCAAAAGGTCTTCTTTTGAGCCCAAACGTCCCGTCCCCTGAAGGAAATGGTCCCCAGGAGGATGAGGACCAGCAGTTCACCCCATCCCCTCTTGGACGGGCCTCTCCTGGATGAACCTCTCAGGAGGATGAGGACCAGCAGTTCACCCCATCCCCTCTTGGACGGGCCTCTCCTGGATGAACCTCTCAGGAGGATGAGGACCAGCAGTTCACCCCATCCCCTCTTGGACGGGCCTCTCCTGCATCAACCTCTCAGGAGGATGAGGACCAGCAGTTCACCCCATCCCCTCTTGGACGGGCCTCTCCTGGATGAACCTCTCAGGAGGATGAGGACCAGCAGTTCACCCCATCCCCTCTTGGACGGGTCTCTCCTGGATCAACCTCTCTCTGCCTTCTCTCAGGGCTGGCTGCTGCTTTCCTGCTCTGTGTAACCTTGCCTGTAGTAAAGGCAAGTCTTTACCTTGCCTGTAGTAAAGACTTTGCATTGAGCTCTGCTGCCTGGCCTCCCCTTGCTTCATCACCCAGCTTTGGGGCAGGAATCCATCAGCTGAGCCCCAGAGATGGGTGCTCAGAGCCCCAGTGTCCCCGTCCATCACACAGACACCCGCAGGCACAGCATCGCACCCTGCTGAGCTCCATCAGCCCCTGTGCTGGGCACTGGGGAGGCTGCACCTCGAATCCTGTGCTCAGCTCTGGGCCCCTCACTGCAAGAGAGACCTTGAGGTGCTGGAGCGGGGCCAGAGAAGGGAACGGAGCTGGAGCAGGGCCTGGAGCCCAGGTGTGATGGGGAAGGGCTGAGGGAGCTGGGGGGTTCAGTGTGGGGAAGAGAAGGCTCAGGGGGGACCTGATGGCTGCCTCCAAGTGCCTGAGAGGAGGATGGAGCCAGGAGGGGCTGGGCTCTGCTCCCAAGGAACAAGGGATGGGACAAGAGGAAACGGCCTCAAGCTGCACCAGGGCAGGTTTAGATGGAGCTGAGGAACAATTCCTGCCCCAGAGGGTGCTCAGGCATTGGAACAGGCTGCCCAGGGCAGGGCTGGGGGTGCTTAGAGGATGTGTGGATGTGGCTCTTGGGGCCGTGGGTCAGTGGTGGCCTTGGCAGCGCTGGGCAGTGGTTGGACTGGATGACCCTAAAGCTCTTTCCCAACGTGGCTGACTCCATGGCTCCACGACCATCCCATACCTGGTGGCTGCTGTCGGGGTGCTCCAGGGATGGATCTGGGGGCACGGTTTGCATGCCAAGTGCTTGGGGCTGGAGCGGAGCCAGCGCTGAGGTGCGGTGGGGCAGAGGAGGAAGCGGGCAGCCTCCCTCCGCAGGCTGTACCAGCCCCCAAGGCAGCAGCCAGCCTGCCCCACACCTCAGCAGGGTCCTGGCACCCCTCCTCTGGGCAGAGCACCCCGTTAGTTACCTGCGCTGGGGAGCTTGTGCTTTCCATCCCTTGGAATCCTTCGCTGTGAAGCTCCAGCCCCGTCCTGCTCCCTTGGGATCATGGAAACCAGGAGCATCTTCCCAGAGCCTGGCACCCAGCAGCTCCCGGGCAGTGGCACTGGGAATGCTCCTGAGGATGATGATGGTGGTGATGGGAAGGGGAGCATCGATGGCAATGGCGTGAGGTAAGAGAATGAGGCTGGCATGGAGGGGAGGCTGACGGTGCTTGGTGCTCTGCCGTCACCCCAGGGTGCTGTTTGGTGCTGGTGTGGGGTGATGTGGAGCTGGGTGCTGAGGAAGGGTGCTGGGGGACAGGTTTGGGGTCCAGGGGCCACCACATCCCAGCAGCTCCCGGGGCTGGGAATGCTCCTGAGGAGGATGAGGGTGGTGATGGGAAGGGGAGCATGGATGGTGATGGGAGAGCGTGAGGCTGGGATGAATGGGAGTGGGAGGGGTCTGGGTGCTCTGCCCTCACCACGGGGTGCTGGGTGATGCTGGGTTGGGGTGATGAGGAGCTGGGTGCTGATGAAGGGTGCTGGGGGACAGGTTTGGGGTCCGTGGACCAAGGGATGAGAGAAGGGAACGCTGGGATCAGTGCCATGGAGGGGGCACAGGGGGGACTCCCTGCCCCATCCCTGGGGTCTGTGGGGCTCCCGTTTGGGGCGCTGTGGGGGGACAACACATGGGGCTGTGATGGGCTTGGGGTCCCTCTGACAGCCCCATGCGTGCAGCGGGAACCCCTATGCGGGGCTGGTGGCCCTGCTGCGGGCAGCCTGGCTCTCGGGGAAGACGCGGCCCATGGAGTACCGGGTGGCGCAGCTGGAGGCCCTGGGCCGCTTCCTGGAGGACAAGAAGCAGGAGATCCTGGAGGCCACGGCCCTGGACGTGGGCAAGGTGAGGGGAAAGGGGGGAGCCGGGAATGGGGGACCAGAGGCTGGAGGTGCCGCGGGGCTGCGGGCGGGCAGGGGGTGGGATGGGGCTTGGAGCATCCTGCTCCGGTGGAAGGTGTCTGGGCGCACGCAGGGGTTGGAGCTGGAGGAGCTTTAAGCTCCCTTCATGCCCAAGCCCCTGTGGGTCTGGCGGGAGCATCCCCCTGCCCGTGCTCCTCCACCCCGTTCCTTCCTGGGCCCTGGGCTCTGCTTCCTCTTCCTTGCGCCCTGCTGTGAGCTCCCAGGTGCCTCTGCTCTGCTTCCCCTTGGAAAGCCCCGTGTGGGCTCTGCCTTGGCTTGGTTGGCATCGCCTGCCCCATCCACCCGCAGGGGTGATGGATGTCAGCAGTGGTGATGGATGTCACTGCAGTGGTGATGGATGTCAGCAGTGCTGATGGATGTCACTGCAGTGGTGATGGATGTCAGCAGTGCTGATGGATGTCACTGCAGGTGATGGATGTCAGTGCAGCGGTGATGGATGTCACTGCAGTGGTGATGGATGTCACTGCAGGTGATGGATGTCAGCAGTGCTGATGGATGTCAGCAGTGGTGATGGATGTCACTGCAGTGGTGATGGATGTCAGCAGTGGTGATGGATGTCACTGCAGTGCTGATGGATGTCACTGCAGTGGTGATGGATGTCAGCAGTGGTGATGGATGTCACTGCAGTGGTGATGGATGTCACTGCAGGTGATGGATGTCAGTGCAGTGGTGATGGATGTCACTGCAGTGGTGATGGATGTCACTGCAGGTGATGGATGTCAGCAGTGGTGATGGATGTCACTGCAGTGGTGATGGATGTCACTGCAGTGGTGATGGATGTCAGCAGTGGTGATGGATGTCAGCAGTGGTGATGGATGTCACTGCAGTGGTGATGGATGTCAGCAGTGGTGATGGATGTCACCGCAGTGGTGATGGATGTCAGCAGTGGTGATGGATGTCACTGCAGTGGTGATGGATGTCACTGCAGGTGATGGATGTCACTGCAGTGGTGATGGATGTCAGCAGTGGTGATGGATGTCACTGCAGTGGTGATGGATGTCAGCAGTGGTGATGGATGTCACTGCAGTGGTGATGGATGTCACTGCAGGTGATGGATGTCACTGCAGTGGTGATGGATGTCAGCAGTGGTGATGGATGTCACTGCAGTGGTGATGGATGTCACTGCAGTGGTGATGGATGTCACTGCAGTGGTGTGATGTGCTGATGGGTGTCACTGCAGTGGTGATGGATGTCAGTGCAGTGGTGATGGATGTCACTGCAGTGGTGATGGATGTCAGCAGTGGTGATGGATGTCAGCAGTGGTGATGGATGTCACTGCAGGTGATGGATGTCACTGCAGTGGTGATGGATGTCAGCAGTGGTGATGGATGTCACTGCAGTGGTGATGGATGTCACTGCAGTGGTGATGGATGTCACTGCAGTGGTGATGGATGTCACTGCAGTGGTGATGGATGTCACTGCAGTGGTGATGGATGTCACTGCAGTGGTGATGGATGTCACTGCAGTGGTGATGGATGTCACTGCAGTGGTGATGGATGTCAGCAGTGGTGATGGATGTCACCGCAGTGGTGATGGATGTCAGCAGTGGTGATGGATGTCACTGCAGTGGTGATGGATGTCACTGCAGTGGTGATGGATGTCAGCAGTGGTGATGGATGTCACCGCAGTGGTGATGGATGTCACCAGTGGTGATGGATGTCACCAGTGGTGATGGATGTCAGCAGTGGTGATGGATGTCAGCAGTGGTGATGGATGTCACTGCAGTGGTGATGGATGTCACTGCAGTGGTGATGGATGTCAGCAGTGGTGATGGATGTCACCGCAGTGGTGATGAATGTCACTGCAGGTGATGGATGTCACCGCAGTGGTGATGGATGTCAGCAGTGGTGATGGATGTCAGCAGTGGTGATGGATGTCACCGCAGTGGTGTCACCGCAGTGGTGATGGATGTCAGCAGTGGTGATGGATGTCAGCAGTGGTGATGGATGTCACTGCAGTGGTGATGGATGTCACTGCAGTGGTGATGGATGTCACTGCAGGTGATGGATGTCACTGCAGGTGATGGATGTCAGCAGTGGTGATGGATGTCACTGCAGGTGATGGATGTCAGCAGTGGTGATGGATGTCAGCAGTGGTGATGGATGTCACCGCAGGTGATGGATGTCAGCAGTGGTGATGGATGTCACTGCAGGTGATGGATGTCAGCAGTGGTGATGGATGTCAGCAGTGGTGATGGATGTCACCGCAGGTGATGGATGTCAGCAGTGGTGATGGATGTCACTGCAGTGGTGATGGATGTCACCGCAGGTGATGTATGTCAGCAGTGGTGATGGATGTCACTGCAGGTGATGGATGTCAGCAGTGGTGATGGATGTCAGCAGTGGTGATGGATGTCACTGCAGTGGTGATGGATGTCAGCAGTGGTGATGGATGTCACTGCAGTGGTGATGGATGTCACTGCAGTGGTGATGGATGTCAGTGCAGTGGTGATGGATGTCAGCAGCGGT